TTTCACTGTGGAACGGCAACGGTCTGCGATGATGCAAGCGAAGCAGATGTTTGAAGATGAGAACGTGGATTTCAGCCAATTTTGGCATGACATGGGTGGCATGGAAGGCGTGGAAGGATTAGACCCGGGTTCCAGTTGAGACTAGTTAACTATTCTTTTTTTTTTTTTTTTTTCATTCATCAACCTCGGCTTACCCGCTATGTAAATTATCTTTGTGTTTGAGTATATTTTGACGTACGTTTCATAAAGCTCAACCGGCAACTTGTGCCCTATACTACTTCAAGTAGATTAATATATTCAAGTGTAGATTGCATTGCTGGGTATCTGGACTAAATCAATGTCAAAAGCAAATGGGACACGTATGTGTCCAGGAAGAACCGAAAAAGAAACCAAAGAACAATGCCACGTCTTAGTACGCCAGAGCTTATAAATAAAAAATAAATAAAAAAACCAGTCTATGGTGCGCCACCCTCGAGTCGATAGTCAAGAGACCACAATTTCTCCCACGGACGAGATCGGCCGTTTTGTCGACGATCAGACGCCGGCCGAGAGGGCAAAGAAGCGGTGCTACTTATGTTTGGCTGAGCCGATGCAGAGGCAGGATCCTAAGCCAAAGGAAAACGATTAGTACCGGTATCAGATTATATTAAAAAAAAACAGACCCGGAAAAGTCGGAAGATAAATAAGTCCTACTTTTCACGGGCCGGAGGGCAGGTTACGGCGAACCTCGTCGAAGGTCGGAGCAGCCTCTCGAGGCTGTGTGCCGGCATCACCTTCGGCAAGGCGGACAAGATCGGTCGTGGAGTCGGCAGCGTGCTGCGACGGCGCGGGCGTGCCCCGCTTGGAATTTGAACTCTCGCGGCGGCTATCAAGGCTCCTAGATAGGGTTTTGGCAATGGCGCCCTCGTCCACAGCACGCTTGAGGCGGATGCTACCCTTGGCATCGACGTGCGCCGATGCAACTGTGCTCTTTGCTAGCCCCGGTGTGGCAGGCGCACCGGGCTTCTCTTCTACGGCATCGAGGAGATACCAACGGAGGCCATCTGAAAGCTCGAACGGATTCTCGTCGGCCAGAGAGGTGACGTCGCTGGCGGCCCCGAGGGAGCGACGGTCTGGAGCGATACCGTTCATTGATTTGGACAGATCTACAACTCGTTCCTCGATCTTGGTGATGCGGGCGAGAAGCCAGTCTCGAGCTTGTAGTTTGTGTGAATCTTGTTCGCGGAGGAAATAGTGCGGCGCGCCAACGTTGAAGGCTGCCCAGGAGCGAATGGCCTGATTCCGTGTGGGAAGGAAGAGAGCAAGATCGCCTTCTTTAAAGGATCTGTAGGCGATCTTGTCATGAGCCTCGCTCTGGACTCGGTGGTATTTTTCACGATAGCCTCGAGCTTCCTTTTGCCATTTGCGAGCTAGGAGTTCGATGTCCTTGACGCGTTTGACAACAACATCACCAAAGAGGGCCACGTCGAACTGAGCTAGACTTTCCATGAAAGCCGAGAATTTGTTCTCTTCGTCCTCCGGGCTTTCGGCTTTCATCCAGTCCAGGAGCGCGGTATCCGGCTTCAGGGATACAATACCGGACTGTGCGAGGCTTTCGCCCAGGGCCAATGATGCACTAAGCTTTGAAGCTCGTTGAACAAGGAGTTGACCGTCTTGCTGAATGATGGTGAACCCCAATTGTTCGAGCATCCGACCCAGCTTCTCAACCTGCGCGAAGAGCTGACTGGAAAGCTCGAAGGACTTAGTACCTCGAGCTTCGGACCGCGCGACAGCCTGTTTCTCAGTCTCCGAAGTGCTCCTTGATTTTTTCTCCCATTCCGCAGCCTGATCTTTCAAATTTCGGGCTTCACTCTCAGCTTCAGCCAGTTTCCGCGACATCTCTGCCTGTTTCTGTTGCTCTTCGGCGATCTGTTCACGCAGCGCATCGGAGCCACTCTCTCCAGTAATTTGAGAGTGCAAGGAATTGTACTTGGATCGCTCTTTGTCCAGTTCACTAGTCAAGTCATTCGACTTTGACTGCGCGCGTGACAGCTCTGTAGTTAGTCGCGACAATTCGGCCTCGCGTTCGTCGAAGCTCTTCGTCCGCTCTTCTGCCTCCGATTCGAGTTTGGCAATATGTTCTTCAAGGGCCTTATTCTCGGCCATTGCCTGAGAAGCACTCGATTCCGCACTCTTGGCGTGGATCGACAGACCCTCAGAGAGAACTTCAATGGCTTTGATTAGGTCGGGAATTTCGACAGGCACAATACCCCCAGGGGAGAGGTTTATGAAGATAACCTGGAGGGCTTGGTAACTTTCCTGCTGCTTTTGTTCGAACTCCATTTGTCGGTGCTCGAGATTATCAATCTTAGCCTGGAGGCCTTCTTCTCGCTCTTGCCGAGTTTGAATCTGTGCATTAAGATCGATGATTTCCTGTGCGTCCTCGGCGGAATTGGCGTGAGCATGTTCAAGGTCGGCTTCGAGCTGATGCATCCGGTCGTCAAGTTCTTGTCTTCCATGCTCTCTGCTGTCCATAAGTCGATCAAGCTCTTCTTCCATTTCCTCGGTACGGAGTCTGAACTTCTTTAGCTCCGAGTCCAGATATCGGCGCTCGTCTTCGAATTCGCGCTGGCGCGCTTCAAGGTTCCCTATGAGATCCTTTTTGGTGGATTGGGCTTCTTGGAACTTGTCGGAGTTGGTTTGCCGCTCCGCGTGGGCTTCCTTGTGGAGTCGCTGGACCGCATCTCTCTCGGCCGCTAACTCTGCTTCAAGCGTAACAATGCGCTGGACAAGTGCTTTCTCTTCGGGAGACTGAGTCGCAGAGACTCGCCTCGAAGACATTGATGACCGTCTAGAGAATGTATCAGGGTGAGGAGATGCAGGTGAACCGGGGAAGTCGGGGCCGAAAGTGCCGCTCGATGGCCGGCTGAGCTGACTCTGTCGGTGCAAAAGGTCTTCCAATTTGCGGACGCGACTGTCAGACCCCTTGATCCTTTCTTCTAGCTTTGTCTTTTCTTCTTGTAAGCTACGGACGGAGTCATCGGCGCGTAATATAGAGCTCCGGCTCAAGTCAAATACGCTGCCTTGTTTGAACGCTTTGGCCCGACGTCTTTGCTGCCGAGTTGGTGCATCCAGCGCCTTGAGTTGCTGGGTGAGTTCTTCCGCTAAGTTGGTCAAGGAATGAGTGGTTTTTAAATCGTCGATGTAATACTCGATCTCTTTCCGGGCTACTTCGGGCCATTCCTCATCCTGACCTTGAAGGTTGACTTCGATTCCCGGCGTGGTGGAATCAGTCACAGTCATAAAGTCCCCCATATTCTTTAACCATTTTTTTCTGCGACGTTGTTCTTCGTCCCTCAAAATTGCCATCTCCTCGGCCAGCGTCAAGGAGTCAGTCTTAATCTTCTCACTCCATTCTCGCCGCCGCACGGATTCGATAAGAATCGACCCATATACCATTGGCATTTGAAAGACAGAGCAGATAACCTCAAAGGCATTACTCCCTATGTCCAGATTGACCATTCGTGCGTTGGCGTCGGCAAGTCTGGACTCAAGGGAGGAAATCGTGCGCATATGCTGAATGGCCGCTTTCTCCGCGGTCCCCCGGCGTTGCACAGCATGCTCTAGTGCAGCTTGAAGCTCGACGCTGATCTCCACTAGCGATGGAAGAAGGTCCTGGGTATGGCTGAGTGCAAGTCTTGATATATTGGCCAACGTTTTCTGGTTGTTCGGCAGGCCGAGGACATGCTCATAATCAGACTCAATCTTCTTCGCAATAGTCTCCACTTCTTCCAGCCACCCATCTACCCCGTCGAAATTTGAGGCAAGGGCGTCTTCTACTAATTGTTGAGTGTCCGAGGCGATGTCGCCGATTGCCTTTTCAATTTCATGGACGCTAGCAACAAAGTCGGCCGACACAGTTGCTGCCTCTGATCCAGCCCGTTGGACCTCGCCTACATCGACAAAGTCGCGCAGCGTTCCGGTTGGTCGATCCTCGTCCATTTTAGGCGTGGACGGGCGTCCAAGAAGAGGAAAATCCTTACGTGCCGGGATATTATCCAGTGTGGAGAGAGCTCGTTGCCAACCATCTAAAGCGGCCTGCTGCTCTTCTAGAAGGCTATTCGCCCATGTCTGCGCCTCTTGGAACCGATGCTCTAGGTTACCCACATGCGACTTGAGATTCTCCAGGGCCACGCCCACCGCGCGATTTATAACATCGGTTCGCTCGTTATGTTCTCGGAGGTTCTTATCAATCGACCCACAGCGGCTAGACAAGTCCAGTGCCCAGTTGCGCCGTGCCATATATAGGTTCCGCCATGCCTGAAGGTCGTTCGAGTCTTTCAGTGTAGCCGGGGGACTACCGGGTCGGAATGGTTCAGGAGGAGGTCGTTCCGGAAACTCGACGTCACCTGGTTCACTGACGTATTGTCGGTCATATACAAAGATCTCATTCTGCGATAGTTGCCTACGAGTTAGCCTATTTCCAGGTCATGATTGATATTCATAATGTTGTACCTCGGTAGCAAGCGTTTGGATCTTGACATTCTTCCCCCGGGCGGTCATCAAGATCTGCCGTGGTGGCGGAATAGATGTATTTCGAACGATCCATGACTTCAAAGCATCGGGACTAATAAAAATGGACAAGCGTCAGCTAGAGTTCGGATAGATCTATTCAACATAGATAAATAGCAATGAATATAGTGGAGACATACGAGGCAAATGCCACTGGATCGGCCAGGAAATGCTCCCCGGTGTGAGCAATGTAGATGTGCAACGACATTACCTTCCTCCGCACCAGGCGAGCTTAGATGCTCAGTAGAGAGGAAAGTGAGAAGTATTTCCCAAAAAGGAGACACCTGCCTGTAAGGAAAGAAAGAAAAGAATGAAAGTCCTGAAGCCCCGGTCAGGCTGGTCAGTACGTTGAAGGTTGCTCCGCAACCTGTGGCCGGGGAAGCTCGCCCACCGCCTCCGGTCTCATCTTCATATCACCAGATAGGCCCGCATTCATGGGATCTACATCAATGGCTGGAAAACATGGCCAGTCGCTGCCTCACCTGCAATCTGGTGAGGTGACACTATTAGAATACGCTGCAGATGACTATCGCGATGTCGTGACTCTATCGGATAAAGAGGCCTTGGTACTGCAGCTCTACAACCAGATCCAGGAACAGCAACTAGAAAAGGCATTTCTCGAACAAGGTATATGCTTGTTTTTTTTGTTTAATTTTTTTTCTTTCTAATCATTTTCACCCTGTTAGAACTGGAATCATTTTCGGGCGCGGATGCTGAAGAACAGCTCGCAATCGCGGAACGTGAGCTTCTAGAGGCCCGATCTACTTATACAGTCAGGAGGAAGGCCGTTCGCACCATCCTCATGACTGAGCCTATTCTCAAAGCTGTCCACCTGAAGGCTGCCACTCCTGCTGAGAGGTATGTACCCATGAAGAGCTCTTAGACTAGACCGAAGTCTAACAAAGGTATACGCAGAGCCATTCTTTGTCTGGTGAATCGTCGCGATGTGCTTGCCCTTGCACACGAGAACCTCGCGTCGGCACATACCTTGGTGATGAGGCAGCTCTCAAACCTACAAGTAAAGAATCTCCAGATCAATCGCGAAAACCAGGAACTAGTGCGCCAGCTACTAGAGCTCACGAAAGAAGATTCATCATGGAGAGAGAAGCTTGAAGACCCCGAGCTGTTACCGCGCCTGGACAAGTCTGAAACTGATTTCAAGGCGCGCAAAGCTCAGTGGGAGACTATGAAGTCCATCGCAAGTGCTGTAGTTGTTGCCAGTGGACTAAATTGGGCCGATGACGACATGTTGCGCGCGTTGGTGCTGGATGAAAGTGATGACTGATGTTTGTTCTTTTTTGCGACGCGGCTTGCCCGTTTTTTACATTTCTTAATTCCGACCATCAACTGTACATGTACTTAGGAGCACAGGCGCTATACAATAATACCCAAGTCACCGGGACATTTGATTTCTGTTCCTAAGAAAAAAAAAAAGAGAATGGTAATTTTAACCGAATAATGTGGACTGGATAATAATTATTACACCTGGGCAATGTGTTCCATCAGTACTGCAATTATGACGGCTATACACAGCGGTGTACTCTGGTCGCGTCTGAGAAGTAAGGGCTCTGCGCTCGGATAATTGCATAACTATCACTTTTTAATTAGCTAGCGATGAGATATCAATTTGGAGTCCACAATACACTTTCCTGTCGGAAGGCGTGGAACTGTACAGAGTACTCCGTACATTACGGAGTACAGGTGGATTAGCCCTCCTTACACATCCACAGTACTGCAGTATCAACGGTATGTGTAAAAAAGAAGGGTTTCTTTGAGGGAACACCAGAATGTCCATGCGTGGTCTATGCGTTTGGACTTGACAATGTCTACAGTACGAGTACGGACTTTTGCTTTTAGTAATCTGAGGCATTTGACGGATTGGAGCACATTACCCCGTAGATGGAATATCCATGCAGTCTACTCATATTGGAAAAGATATCCAGGCTGGATTCAGCTTGTGATGATGGTGTGATCCGGCTCTGTAAGGAAGGAGTCTAACCTTTAAGCCGTCCCATACCGTCTCACTTTGTAACCTATCAGTCTAGGCGTGGATAATGCTCGGACTAAGAAAATAGCGATAACTCTATGCCACATTATGCCACATCCATCCATGCTAGTTAGGGTCTAGAACACGTATGCCCTTTATCAACAGGTCTAACAGGTCCCTTCCTAAGTACCTGCCCAGCCGAGTTTCCAATTGAGGTTACGCTAAAAGGGTACGCCACGATTATGATTGAGCGACCAGTCAGTCGCCCTTGCCTAAGGATGATAGTTGAGTACTTGGTACGAGTACTCACACTGTTGTGTACACACCTCTAGACACGCGTTGCGTCCGTGATGATTAGGGTTTGTGTCATTACACAGAGTTCTCAACCGAATGATATTGACACCGAGAGCTTAAGTAGACCGTGTTTTCGGAATTCTTATTCTATCGACCAGGGGACTAACGGTACAATACTCCGTAGTAAACTGGGATCTGTCTTTCTAGGACCGCAAGTACCCCGTACAATAATAATATGTACCTGCACATGACCTTGCGACTCGCGACCAAAGCCACTATACGCTATACCATATGGAAGCAAGTCCATGATATTCCATGCCTGTACACAACAAACCCTGCCCGACCTAAATACATGGAAATGCTTGATTTGCTATTTGTACCTTCGTCCAGGGGTTCTCCGGACTCTTTATGACATACATCGGTGCCTACTTGCCACAACTGTAGACATCATTGCTGCATTATTATTAGCAAAATGTTACAATATAAGCCATATTGTACGGAGTATGTATATCAAATCAATGGCAAACGCTCCACGGTAATGATAAGTACGAGGTACTTGCCGAGCAGATACTTCCACTATGGAGTTACCGCGTACCGTGTACCTGTACGTTTGCGCGGTTATTAATATGACGGAGCGCAATCCACAAGTCCCAAGTGCCGGAATGATGGTCTTGTTTCATAACCCGTGGACGCCGTATTGAATTCTCTAATCGGTACAGCCGCCCACAAAGATTGGCCTAAAAAAGAAAAAAAAAAAGAATGTATACAAATATATCATAGTGAACAATCTAAATGGAAATTCTGACGGTAACCTGGGGGAAATAATACGTAAATTTCCAGAAATCAGTGACGAATAGTATGGTGGACGGCGTAAGTTACGGGTATTGATCATACGTTTTCTCCCAGCCAGTCAGCGAAACCAGTGCCTTTCCCTTGCTGTGGCCCCCCTCTCTTTGCTACTACTACGGCCCTCCCCCCTCTACTCTTCTCTTCTCTTACTATCTTCCTACACTACCAACTCCCCCATACAAAAACTCCCCTTACAAAAAAAGGTACTGCATATACCCCGAGTTCTATAAATCAACACTTCGCAATCGAATTTCCTCCACCACAACCACCACCCCCTTTTTTTTTCAGTTCTTTTGGTCCTTGCAATCCTTTATTTTCACCTCATTGCCTGTCTTTTTTTTTCCCAATTTGCGCCGACCTTGCGATCGCGCGCTGCACCTCGATCTATGTTTTTGTCCACCTCAACTAACTCGCAATCGCACAGTTCTTTTTCTTTTCAAAACATATTTCTAATTTGTGATCATCAAATTCATGTGAGTTGGTCTCATCCCTATCATCTCAAAGCTCTGTTTTGCCTCGGTCGCAAGTGATTGGTTGCGCGCAACGCGTCTAGCCAACACTCGCGTCTGCCCTTCTCATCTCCCACCTCCACTCCGATCTCATTAAATGTTATGTCGATTGCGCATATAAACCTTCACTTGACTCAATCGCGCCTTTCGTTTCTCCCGCATGATATCTATTGTGCCAAGAATCCTCAGAAACCACATCTAACCTTCGACAGTCATCATGCCTAAGGAGACCACCACCAAGACCACCCGCAAGGCCCCCGAGAAGCGCGTCCAGCGCCGCAAGAAGGGTAAATTCGATATGGAAGTAACCTCGTCGTCAACGGCTTGTACTAATTGACTTAGATCCCAACGCGCCCAAGCGTGGTCTGTCCGCTTACATGTTCTTCGCCAATGACAACCGCGATAAGGTCCGCGAGGAGAACCCCGGCATCAGCTTCGGTCAGTGAATTGATTCCCCAGCTCCATTGTACTTGTCTAACACCCCCACAGGCCAGGTTGGCAAGCAGCTCGGTGACAAGTGGAAGGCTCTGAGCGAGACCGACCGCAAGCCCTACGATGCTAAGGCTGCCGCTGACAAGAAGCGCTACGAAGAGGAGAAGGCCGCCTACCTTGCCAAGGCCGAGGAGGAGGAAGAGGAGGAATCCTCTTAAACGCCCTCTAGCTTCACTTCGTCTTTTGCCTCTGGGCGTTTGTGTTTCTCTAATGGTTCTCCTGATGTTTTTTTCGGACGGTTTCGTGCACGGTTTCTGGGTTTGGAGGACGGCTGGGGTTTACTTGCTTCTGAACTGTTCCTCTTTGCTCTTATCGAGGGTATTAAGTTATCAATGGGAAATCTCAACCTTTTTTTAATTAGTGTCAAGGTCAGTCCCGTTAAGCTTTAAACGATTGTAAAAATAGCAAGCAAGTCTTGGCAATGTCACTAGCTTGAGGGGATGATTCAAAATCAGGATTTAGTCTGTTGTGCGAGGGGTCTTGTGTGCCGCGTTCAGATTCGCCTCACTTTAGGTCTGATCTTCGGCTGTCGAGCTTCGGGGAAGCTTCGGGAGCTCTCCAGAGCTCTTGAGCTTTTTTGCCCCGCAAAATCGGGCGTTTCTCACCGCCTGCGTCATTCACCGCCCTAAGAATCCGGGGTCGAAGCTCGAAGCTCGAAGCTTAACCTTGGGTTTGTTTCAGATGCTGTAAGAATTCCAACCAATATTGCTTCATCTACTAATCGGAAATCTTATTGGAGAGTCTAAATCTATGTTGCAGGAGTCAAACAAATGCCACCCGGATCGATCACAAGGCGTTATCTAAGACTACGATGTACACTATCTGGAGCTTGGGCTCGTGAGACCTCCGACCCTAAGCTCGATCCCGATCGATGGCTTTCCTTTTCCATTTTGATGCTCACACCTTTCTTCACTGCCCATCACCGTATCATTACGTGAACAGATGGCTTAAGCGATCGTTAGATCATACCTCTTTCCCAGAACTTCGAAATCAACGCTTTCCGTATAATTTGGTGAAATTGAGATTAATTGAGTGGGTATATATTTCCTTTTCTTCTTGGGGGGTATAGAGTACCTTTCATGACTAGTTTCGAGAATTGACTTCGATATTTCATTGTTTAGAGATACGCAAGATCTACTGTTTCTCATGATTACATCTGACTCCTACTTCTGTCAAATACCAGTTTCTTAGACTTCAGTGTCGCGACCTCCTCGCCTGTTGAATTAGGCTGGTCTATCATGTTTCGCCCCAGCTGCCTCGAGCATGGAAGGAACCATCCCATCTAGGACTCTTGATCGATCAGCAAATATGGGCTATAAGGCCCGTTTCTCGTGTGCCTTCTCCTTTACCCCCTCGCAATAATCGCACGGTGTGTTCATTTTGATGCCGTCTAATAGCAAAGAGGTCAAAGACCTCGCAGTGGCCAGCAGCGCTCCATCACCGTACCAATCGTTCACATGAAGGCAGAGCGGGCTGACCGTCCAGGATTAATCGCGCTACCTCAAGCTATACCTCTTCATACGCCAAAGTCAACGATAACATCCGCTAGTAGAGCGGGACATTTGTTGGGTCTATAGTGCCTATCGTTGGGAGTCCAGCACCGTCTGTATGTGAAGGGCGGTGTCTGGTGTTGCCCGGGTTTCTTCCAACCAAGGAATGTGTAACTCGCTATATGGCATGAATCACTACGGATGTGAAGTGGGGATTAACAACACCATCGGACCCTCGCCAAAACCCGCTCAAGACCCGTAATTCGGTGGTACTTGCTCGACATTACCTATATATAGACTTCGTTCGGGTTGTGGGGAATAGAAGTCTGGCAAGAAGCGCATTTATCCAGAGACCTCAGGGAAATTAATTAACTTAGTAGGATTGGCTTTCTATTACTCGATTTTACTGGGTTCCTCGACTTTGATATCATATGCAAGCAATCCGGGAAAGAGTTTATCTGGAAAATATGTATGCCACGTATTTTACCTAGTGGGGCTAGTTATATCGGGCATATCTCATGTTAGACAGTTTGTTCCCTCTCTATATGGAGTATTACCCCAAAGCGCTCCTATGATTGGTCTAACTGAGAGCCATAAGCATAAAATTGACCACTTCTCCGCACTTAGGGCCGGGAAGACCCTATGAACTGAAGCTTATACCGAGCTTATAAGGGTATACAGAGACATTCTCTACATTCTCTACATCCTCTATACATCCGTGAACAAGCGGTCTATGAGAAAAGCGAAAGAGATGACGAGGAGACCAAGACTCCACAAGCCCCGCCATTCGGGCGTGAACACGTCGGTCCTGGGACAACCCTGTCTCGAGAGCCTCATGGGCAAAGATTTTTTCTTTCCCGCTTCTTATCTCGAGGGCTTTCTTTCCGTTTTTCGTTTTGTCTTTTCTAAATAATGTTAATTGTGCGCATGTGAGCCTATTGGCCTATTATTTAGTTCCTAATTTTTTCCCTAGCCCCCTCCCCCTTCGAGAGAGCCCTCCCCACCAGATCCCTCCGCACCTCCCCCAAGAAAATCACCAACCCGTATATGGCCTAATCCTGTACTATAAGATGGCTCAGGCTCTGCGCGCGTCTCGTGAGAGCGCCGACGACGTGGCGGCTGGTTTTTATACATTCCGAGACCCTCTCCCAGAACACATGAGCGAGATCTCGGCGCTCTTGTCCGAGTTATTCGCCATCAGCTCATCCTTGTCCGCTTTGCAACATCTAGCAGAAGATCCCCGAAATCGCCGCTATTTTGAAATGATCAAACCCGATTTGACCGTGGTGCAAGCCAGTTTCACATATACAATCGAGGATATCGGCGATGTTTTCAGACGTCTTGATGGCCCAGATGCTAGTCCAGCGATGTACAAGCGCACATGGGCATTTATGAGTCGGTTCTTTTGGGATCAATCAAACTACTCCCTGGCAGCCCGCCTAGCCAAGTATAAGACGGCCTTTAAAGAGTTCTATGACTTGGTAAGAGAGTAGGTGCTCCGCCAGGCAAAACTAGTAGACAAGCGCATGCGTGTACTTATTCCTGGTCGTTATTAGTGGTCACTATACCTCGTCGGCCCTCGTGATGCTCGTCAATCAATTCAAGGCCTTACTCTCCATACAAGATGGTCTGTTCGCTGCTCGCTTTGAAGGCATGACACTCCGCCCGGATGACTCGCCTATCAGACACCGCCCAGCGACTCCCCCGAGCCCGGTGAGAGAGCGCCTCCCAAGGGAGCGCCCGGTGAGGGAACGTCCGACGAGTGGCCGCCCGGTAATTGACCTGAACAGACGGCGCCGGAGGTCATTCGAGCGCGCTCGGCCGTCGCATATGTCTCCTCCGCCAATGTCGCCTTCCTCCGGCACTTCTTCGGATTTCCCGCCGTCTGTCCCGGATATCCCGCTCTCGCCGTTCACTTCTACATCCGCGAGTACTAGCGCGGATGTTATTCAAGAACACTGGGCCAAAGATACATTCGGGTGTAATACTACCAACACTCCTCTACCGTCTTCAAGAGAAAAGTAAGTTATAAATAGCTTGGTTTAGTTCTCAGAATTTGGCTAACATATTTTGGCAATAGGTCACGCTGCTGCGGAGAATCTCAACCTGGCATTAAACAATCAATTAAAGACAAGGGATATGAGGAACTCATTCACCTGCAAGTTGCGAAATTTTACTCCTTTAAGCATACATTTTAACACAGTATAGATGCCTAAACGACGAGTCCGATATGCGTGTGGCCTTTTATCTAAGGAAAACAGACCATCGTGTCCGCATCCTTTGCAAGAAGCCCCACCGGACGGGGCCTAGCGACTACTACTGCTTGCCGCTGAATTTACTCGAGCTCATGCGAGATGGCTCTTGCCTCCGACTGTGCAGGCGGCGGAATCATGGAACAGAGCTTGTTTTATGGACCCTATTGAAGTTCAGCACATTGGAAGGTCAGCAATGCTAATCTGAAAGCCCCGCCTTGGGCTGTCGAAGTGACATACTTACAGCTTTATCTTTCAGATCTAGTGATATTCCATAACGTATTCCTCGCCTTGCGCTCCCAGGATGCAGGCCATCCTATAGGAGAAATCCTAGACCACGAGCTGACACACGAACAGCAACGCTTTGGAGCGTGAGCAATCCACACCATACCAAGGATAACTGAGTTCAGACAGGCTGATATCTTCTAGCCCGATCACCGACGATGGGTACATGCATGCGCTGCGCGTATACAAAGACACGGTGACTGGAGCCGTAAGAATGCAGGCGTCAGTCCACCTAGGCGAGATGAATCAGTATGTCAAGCGTCAATTGTACGAATTAAACATCGAAAATGAATTCTAATGAAAATGAACACAGCACACCCGTCTGGACAGCATTCGTCACCCACAACCTTGGGAAACGCAGTTGGCTTAAGTTGCAGGGTTCCAAAACGGTGATTGTGCGTGATATCAAGCCCATCATATTTATGTCTGTCGATGATTACGACCCCCCGCAGACCTCACAAGGTTATCATATCCTGGAGTTCACGCGCTCTTCTGGTAAGTGGTTGGACGCAACGGTCTCGAGTATTGTTGACTGATTGGACGTTTGTTTAGATGCTCGGATGTTCGTGGATGTCATGGATGAACTGGGCGATTGAGTTATGATAGGAACAGTTGGACTGATGGTTTTTAATTGGAATCTCTGTTCTGACATGATGATTTATGAGTTATGTTGATATGATTGCGATGATTCAAGATTTCAAGAGCCGTGGATTTCTTTCTAGTAGTCCCGATTGCTAGTTTGGTACCTCTTTGGACTTATGTATGTCTATAATGGATTGTCCTCGCCGTGGGTCCTCTACAGCTCCATGGCTTCTTCGCTCCCATATTTCTGCTAGGCCTAAACGTAGACTAGGTTCAACCAAAACCATTGTTTAGAAATAAATTCAAGCCAACTTACTAGGGGTATCACATATACAAAAGAAACGCAAAGTAGAAACCAGAAAGCACATTGAAGCGCGAGCAGATGCGATGGAAAGGTGATGAGGAATCACTTGGCCACATGCGGAACATCATGAAAGAGACTTACGAAGTGTCTATATCCTTTGCAGCGTTGTTATCCCCTGCAAAGCTAGCGATATCTTCTGGTTCAGGATGATCCATGAACATGTACCGTCGTGCCAGTGGGCATGTAGTCCAGTCATACGGGGGGTCGTACTCAGGGTACAGCCATTTTGAGGGGGGTGGTTTAAGTGGAGGGGCTACCTTTGGCTCGGGGTTGCGTTCGGCTTCAAGGTCCTCCAGGCGCCACGTCTCCATATTTTCCTTAAAAAGTCTTTGGATCTCTTCGCATCGCCACTGTAAATGAGCCTTGCGCTCAGCCATCCGTTCCTCGTCCGTTTTCCGCTTGGATAAAGTTTCCTCTCGCAGAACTCGGAGTTCTTCCATCTGCTGCTTGCGCTCCCCCTCATCGGTCGAAAAGCTATAGAATCCAGTTCCACGGTTGCGAATCTCCGCTTCAGCCTCGTAATGCTTCTTCTCCGGCGGGGTAGGCGAGCGGTCACGACGAGCGGCGAGATGGGACATGTGCGACGCAATGTTGGCATCAGGATTAAAGGCTTCAGTCTGAACGGCCTCTCCATAAATCAAATTGTCAGGACGAGCAGGGCGCCAGCGTTCTTGGGCAGCTTTGGCACCCGCTTCTTCATCCATGGCGCGAGAGGCTTCGGCGGCTTCGGCGCGAGTGCCACGGCGAGACCGGCCAAATTCGTCTTCGTAGGAAATAATGGATGCATTGTCGTCATCGGACTCATCTTGCTTGAGTTGCTCCTCGCTTGCGTGCTTGAGATCGAAATCAACCAATACGTCCTTCTCCTTGCGTCTTAGTCGGGCTAGGTAGGCGTCCGGGTCGGATGGATCAGCCGGCATGTCATCATCATCACTATCACCGGCAAGATGCAATCCCTTCTTCATATCTTCGTAGAGGCGCGCCTTTTCCTGCATTCGACGTCGAGACCGGCCCAGTGTGATGGCGTCAACAGAGCCAATGTCCTGGGTGCTCCTGTGAACTTGCTTGAGAGCCCTGTTGTCATCTGCAAGATCGGCAGCTGCACGCTTCTGAGTACCTTTGTTGTGCTTTGAAAAGATATCAGACTTCGGATTCTTGGAGGGACGGTGGCGTCCCCGCGACGAAGCGGAGGTCGCATCTTGGGCGATGAGTGAAGAGAGCTGAGAGGTGAAGGCGAGGCTTGAGGAGGTGACTTGTTCGGGTTTGGTCTTTTTTGGGCGCGGCTGCCCGTAGAGGGAATCCTGATCAGCAGGCATGATAATGTGAATGATACACGTGTAGTGTCAAGAAGTTACAGGTTTCACGCGCGGAGTTTACCGTATTTCCTACAGCCACCGGCTTATCGATAAGCCAATATACACCGCCAAACCTTATGTCATTTTCTGCCGCTATTGATGACTAATGCCGATATTCGGGGCAGCCCCGCACCCCCACTACTCAGGTGAATCGATTGCGCCGTGAGTCAATTGATTGTTCTCTTAGTTTTGATCTGATATTGAACTCTTGACTGAGAATCAGAAAGTTAAGCTGATCGAAATAATCAAGAAAAAAATCATCAATCAGCAATATGTCGGCTAGTCCTATCTACCTTGGTGTCATTGGTAGGTGTCCCTCACTACTGAGCTTTAAAAGTCCAACCAATTGAGTACTAACGATTTGATCAATTAGGTGTCGGAGGCGTTGGTACGGCCTTCCTCCAACAGCTCGCTCATCTCCCCAATGCGCCCCAGCTTGTCCTCCTTGCCCGTTCCTCCCAGACCCTCATTTCCCCGACTCCCGCCTATTCGCCGGCCATCCCCGCCGCCGATTGGGCCACAGCTGCTGCTGCACCATCGCTGACCAAGAGCGGTGCCCTTCAGGCCGAAGAAATTGCTACATACCTCGCCTCCGCACCTGGCCGAGCCATTTTGGTCGATAACACTTCTGACATTAGCCTCGCCCGGCAATACCCCACATTCCTCAAGAAGGGCATCTCAGTGGTGACACCCAACAAGAAGGGATTCTCCGATGACCTGTCCTTGTGGAAGGATATCTTTGCCTCTGCGGCTGAGGGTAAGGCCCTCGTGTACCACGAGAGCACCGTGGGCGCCGGCCTGCCCGTGTTGTCGACCTTGAAGGACCTGGTTGCTACCGGCGATGAGGTCACCCGCATTGAGGGTGTCTTCTCTGGCACTCTGTCCTTCCTCTTCAACACCTTTGCCCCTGCATCAGGTGCTTCTGATGCCCAGTGGAGTGCTGTCGTCGCCCAGGCTAAGGAGCTGGGCTACACCGAGCCGGATCCTCGTGATGACCTGAACGGCATGGACGTTGCACGCAAGCTGACCATCCTGGCCCGTATTGCTGGTCTGGAGGTTTCCCGCCCTGACTCTTTCCCTATTGAGTCGCTGATCCCCGCTGAGCTCGCATCTCTGCCTTCATCCGCGGACGGCATTACTCAGTTCATGACTCGTCTCCCTGAGTTCGATGCCCAAATGGCCAACATCAAGGACACTGCCGAGAAGCAGGGCAAGGTTGTGCGCTACGTTGGAAGCATTGATGTCGCCGCCAAGGCTGTCAAGGTTGGTCTGCAGTACTTTGATAAGGACAGCGCCATCGCTGGTCTGAAGGGCAGTGACAACATCATCAGCTTCTACACTAAGCGCTACGGTGCCAATCCCCTGATTGTGCAGGGTGCCGGTGCCGGTGGTGAAGTTACCGCCATGGGTGTTTCGGCCGATCTTATCAAGGTTGTCGAGCGCCTCCGCTAAATTGCGAGCTTTGGAGGCCTAAAATAATAAAACAAAAAATTTGACAATGCATATAAAGAAACGCCCTTTCTGAGTCCAAGCCTTGTGTCATATATACCATATAATTCATGTATCTTGCGCAGAACTCCAACATACTGAAGTGTCTAAGTCCTTAGGAAGTCCTTCAATGCTTCTCCCCACACATCTCCCTTCTTATAAATATGCATTCCTGGCACATTCCCCCTCTTCAAGCCATCGACCGCGTTCGCAAGGTCCTCACCAGAACCCTCATCCTTAATCTGCTTAATTGGATAAAGATAAGTGTGGACGGTAAAGACGAGAGCCTTGGACACCGGCAGCCGATGCAACGTCTGACGCTCACATCGGAGACAAGTCTTTAGTGGTATCAGCACTATCCGATCAAATAGACTTCCTCGAAGCCAACATACCTGATCAACATTCAATTTCCCGGGCTCAATAGCCTCCTCTTTTTTCCCCGGCTCAGCATGTGTCCCACCAAAAGCAGCAAACAGACCCGTGTCAATAGTAATACTCCAATTAGCCCGTTTCACAAACCTCCCAACCTCAATGCGCGCAAAGAACCGATCCATGCTGCGTCCAATCTTCTCCTGATACCCCGGGACCGGCACATGAATATCGGCTAAACGCTGCCCGAGTTTCTCGCTCATGTTGAAGCCAGCCGGGAAACAGATCGCATATGCTTGTAGTACGGATTTCGGCTGTTCCTCATTTTCGGGGAATAGCTCAGGGAGCAGGATCAGGAAATCCTCGTCTACCGTCTGGGTCAGGATTTCCAGGGCTTGGATTGTTGGCATCGTTGGCGACAGCGTTGTCGGCCACGTTGCGCCTGTTACCAGGTTGTGGAAGAGCGAGCTTCCAGCGGTTAGACGGAACATGCTCGGATAACGGGTTGGTAGGTATGTTCCCAGAACATAATTGTATAGTTCGCTAATGGCGGGACGGATGCGAGGATCCTCCTCTGGGGTTTGGTCGTTGTTGATTCCCACCACGATGTCGTGGTGCTGGTCGATTACGGACTTGCGGAGAGCTAGTCGGTCCTTGTATGTTTTGTCCATCGGGATGAGCTCGGATGGATCGAGGCTTTCAAGTGCTGATATGGATTAGTCTCGATATGTGTCGAGCGGTGTAGTATGGTATATTTGTAGAGCATCGGACGAGGGACTCACCCATGGTCAAGTTGTATTTGTCTTTCCCTTTAAACGGCCGGAATTGCAACGGCTCGGTCTCCACCCAATTGAATCCCTCTAGAGGTATGATGGGGGATATCTTATTGTCCGAGAAAGTTGTCTTCGTCCTCCCGTATGCATTAGCCTTACGGGATTGTCGAACCCTCCACACAGCAGCACATGTGCCCACGATAAGAGCAAAGAACAGATATATGGAGAATGGAGGCCATGGTGTATCAATGGCTTTGTATAGAATGTGTGCCATCCTGCTCAAATCACTATGGAGTGGATCTAAGCTGTCGAAGTTTAGATCCCTGCTCAACGGAGAGTTTTATCCTTGAACAACCTCCTAATCCGCATGAACTCCTCACTAGAAAGCGAACTTGGCTTGGAGACTCGCGTTGGAGCTTATCTCCCCCACTTTGAGTGGCTGAACTGTCCGTCCATTGTTCTCTGATTGACTCACACGGCCGAGATGTCGGGACCTGCGGGGTTGGCACTTTCAAGATAAGACAGTTGGGGTATTGTAAGATTGGCTACTCATTATCTAGGGCTTTGTATAATAGATTGTAGGTTATACTCCGGAAGTATCATACAATCTTCGATGTATAGGTATATAAGTCTTCTCACACACAACCTGGGAAGACGAGACGAGCAATAAAAGAAATGTATGCTTGCTCATATAGTCAAAGCGACAAGAGACAACAATAACACAAGATTCATAAACATCATCACTTTTCCAAAGGAGACGCAATCCAATCATCATATCTGCCCCGAGCTCCTTTGTTTCAAGATACCATCTCCACTCAAATGTGGCTTTAATCCTTGGACAACAACAGGGCTCACATTCCCCTTCTGAGAGTCGTCACGACCTTGATCTTTCTCCCTCTTCCGCCCTGGAGAATCATCTTGATTTTCCCCCTCGCTGCTGCCGGTATCCGTCTCCACGCCGCGCAGTCCAAATGCCCTCCGTTGTCCGTCCGGGCGTTCATTCAAGCTCGGCGCGCGAGGGCGCTGGCGACCACGTGCTCGTCCACCAATCCAGGGGACCTCCCAAAGGGTCATACGATATATCCAGATGGTTGCGTCTAGGAGTACGAGGAAGGCCCAGGGGCCAATGGTGATGAGACCGAGGAAGAACTGCGGAATCCGGGGTAGGTTAGCGACTGCGTCATAAGGGGTGCGTCACGAGGGGGGTAAAGTCGGAGAGGAAAGAGGGAAACTCACGAAGATGCGAGCTAACCAGGTCTCGAGTTGGGTGAGTCCCGGCGGGAGGATGGAGTACCACGCCATTATTTTGCTGTGTATTAGAGCGCTCGTGAGCCTCGGGAGGTTGCGGTTGTTGGTGGGTTGGAGCTGTGTCGGTGCTTTGGCGCGCTGCGACTCGGACCACCCACTGCTGACACCTCTTTTTTCACGGTTGGTTCATTTTTTAGGGTCAGTCTTTGATTCTCAGTAAATGAACTGTAGAGAGTCAAATTGCACTTGCTCGGCTTTGGATTCCACGATTGGGGTACTCTGATCTGATTGGCTGGACCCTGAATACTCACGTGAGGCTTAACCGTGTGTTTTATGGCTGGCATTGATCTGAAGATGTGTTGAATGGGTTTGGAAAAGTTTGATATTTTGATATTAAATATGATATTTAAATTGTCCACTTCATGTGTAAATGGTGATTTCCAAGATGTGCCTTAAGCAGACCAAAAAAATAAATCGTGACCTTCGTGTTTAGAAATGACGCTGAGTCCCCCCGAGAAATGTTGTAGAATACAAAACTATACAGATGCAAATGTTTCGCCCAGCAGGGCTAATATGACCGAACAGCTTACCCATGTGAACGGTAAGCGTCGTAGGAAGTATACGAGGGCTCGTCTTCCTGGTCGACTGGTCCATAACCACCGGTCCTCCAGCGACCGAGCGGATTCGTGATATCCGTCTGCCCAGGAGCCTGTGCATTGCTGAGGAGTCCGGACTCCGACTCGTCTGCGTTTGCAGCCGACCTGCCACTGTTGCCCCGCGATAGCGGCACACGGAAGGCCGGGTGGATAAGCCCGGTCGGGTCGGAGTGTTCGTGTTCGTAACCCTTGTGCATGTTCAGCGGCATTGATGGCAGAGAGGGCGCGGGTGATGAGGCACGAGATGAGCCGGGAGACCACTCGCCTCGCAAAGTACTGCGGGGTGTATGCGACCGCTCTGTCATCAGGTCATCAGGCCGGCCGTAGATGCCGCCTCCGAACTCGTCTCGGAAGTCTGCTCGATCCTTGTAGTAGGAGAAGTCTAGATGGTTCTCCGGGACGACCTCGAAGGGCGCGGGTTCGGCAGACTTGCCGGGCTGGGAGGCCAGCATTGGGTTCATTGCAATGTCTGAGTACTCGCCGCTCATGTCACCCTGGTCCAGACGACCTTGGTAGATTTCTTTTAGTGCTGCGGCTGCCTTGGCGTGCACCATGGGTGTCAAAAGTGGTTTGTACAGGGCAGGGTGTCCGAACTTGGTATTCAGACGGTCTGACGCTTTCTTGTCTGAGGTGTTCACACCTAAGGCCTCGGCATCGCTTAGATTTGCACGGTTTACAAACTCGCAATCGGAGTCAAACGTCTTCATGCAATAGATCTTGAATCCAATCATCAAGAAAGGCAGGGGAATCACGCAGAACACCATGTTCCACGTGCCGCTCGATTTGGCCACGAGAGCGATGATCACGTTCGCAAGAATAGTAGCGAAGATCATGCGATTGAATAACACACGCCAAAACGCACCACCAGACTCATTCTTAGTCACGAACACGTACATCAATAGATACTTCTTCAACATGGCATCCACACCAAAATACAATGCTGTCACCGGCAGTACGATGGGTTGCAAGGTAGCGAAACAGAAAGCCACGGTGGCATAGAAGAGGAAGTAGTTGTAGTAACTGGCGTAGTCGAATGATGGCGGTGCGGTCCACTCAATTGCCTGTCGGGGTGTGGGTGAGAGGAACGTCTTGGCGAACCAGACCCAAGCCATGGTAACGAACTGCACCAGATCAATAGCAGCGCCGAGATTACGCTGCAAAAGATACGTCACCCAGAACGGTGACACGGTGCAGAGAGCGCTTACCAACTTGGCATACATCCGGCTTTCCAAGATGGCTTGCCAAGCATCTTCGTGGTTTTTGGTTTTGTCAACCACAAACGACACGAAGTACCAAGCAGCCGAGAAGAGTGAGAAGACGATCAGATTGTTGAAAACGAAGAATGCATACAGATGCCCCAGCACGTGGCGCTCTCGAGATGTTTTAGTCTTGCTACCACCTTGGATAGAAAGTCGACGGAAGATGACCGGAAGCGCCAGATACACGAGCGAAGTTAGTGCGGGCGATGCAATACCCTGGACAGCAGCCCAAACGTTTGGGTTCATTGCCAGCGAAGTCTGGAACGCCGGCCATACCAAGCCCAGATTGGACAGATTGGACAAGAAAATGGCAATCAAACCGTTAGGAACAATCCACACCAGTGTCAAGCCTGTCACCCAGATAAAATTGATCAGTCGCTTCCACTTGCGCGCGGATTTTGAAAGCGGAAGGTTTTCCCATATGATATCGCTGGGCCGCGGCGCAAGAGTAATAGTAGTGCCCTCAGGGCGTTTGCGGCGAGCGTTCCATGCCACAGCATGCGCGTGCTCGATATTGTCCCAGCTGGCAAAGCCGTAGGGCATCGCGTTTCGGCGATCAATCGACGCCCGGCCATGCTTGATTTCCTCTTCCAAGACGCGAATCCGCACGGATAGATAATCGATCGCGTCCACTTTGCCGCCGGGGAATTGTTTGCGTTGTCGGCGAGGGGGATGTAGGGTCGGTCGTTTCGCTGGCAATCGGTCCGGGTTCTTAAGATACTTGGCCAAAACGGACTCGAGTTCTCGGACAACCTCTTCATGTTCCTTGATGAGGCGAGGCAAATCCCTGACATTGCGGCCAATAGCAGCTCGTGGGAGGGCCGAGGTGGGATTGACCTTGTCGGTTAGCTGCAGAATACCTTCATCGGTACGACTATTGACAGGGATGTCCGTGATCATCAAGGTTCTGGCATGCAGACTGCGCTGGTATTCAGCGCTTTGGAAATATGTCCTCCGCAGGTTCCGCACAGCGCGATAGTTCCTCCATAAAAAGAAAGCAACAATAAGATCAAAAGCCCAGGCGCATACCACTTGACTCCAAATGGCCATGGGGTTGGTGATGTTGAGGGGTGTCATCATGTTGAAGGCGGCAGACGCCGTCGAGTCAGTAGAATTCTTGCTCTGTGTAATATTGACCGGTATCATGACGAGGCAGCCGATTATGCTGAGAAAGATGAAGATGTTGCGGCACATTTTTGTAAAGCGGAGGAAGATTGCGGCGTCCAGCCCGACTGACTCGATCAGCTGCGGTTCCCGTGTATTGATCACCGGCTTGACCCAGGCGAAGAAGCCCTTGCCCACCGGCGGCGGGGTATGTTTGAGGTCTGCATGCTTGACTTTGGGCGCATAGACAAGCGAGTGACGGGGTCGAACAAGGGAGAAGAGGAGAGCGAGGAGGACGGTGACGCCGATCGAGGTGCCTAGCGAGGCCCAAATAGCAGTGACTGTAAACTATAGCTTGTCAACGTGGTGTTCCTCTCCGCAAACAATTTCAACTTACTGCAGACCGAAATGGATTTGCAATGAGCTCGAGGAAGGTATCTGTCCCATCCGTGCGGGCATGCAAGCCCAATTGTTGTAGATCCATTACGTCAAAGCAGCAACGAATGGCTATCCGGCATGAACGAGGGGCCGGAGTAAATCAAGAGCCCAGCATGAAGTTGAAATAAAATAGATTAAACGAGGGGAACGGGGCGATTGAATGGGAAAGACAAGCGGATGTGAGACAAAGATAATGCGCACGAATGAAAGAGAAAAAAAAGGTGGACTTTAGTGGACTTTGGTGGACTTTGGTCTGGACTAGTTATAATTAGAATTGGGTCATGGATATAACGCTGATCACCGTTGGAAAAGGGAGCCACAACGTAGCCACTTCTCTTCATGAAGTCCTCATAGGTATGTACTCCGTATAATTTGTTGTTTCCACGGCACTGGAGATCAGATTTTGCGTCAGCATCGACTAGCTTTTCCTGTGGCACCCCTAACACGTTTCAACTCGTTGCTGACCCATCTACCATGGTCTCATTGGCAGTCCATCAGTCTTTGTCAAGTGGTACGCCAATCAGTTGACGTAGTCTAGAACATCGGGATTGTCAGATCCAAGGTAGCACTGAGGACGTGGAGTCATGTAGGTACAGTTGTGCCTGTGGACTTGTTTGAGATATTCTCCAGGGGTTCCAAGGTTGTTTGAGAAGTTTGTCTTTGGTGTGTTGCCTGAGGCCACTATTGATGCCTGAATACATCATCAAGCCCTATTGACGAGATATCGGAAGTGAACGATTTAAGGTCGATTCAGTCCTACTTCCAAGATAAATATTAGGTAGGAATAGTCAGTCATAGCATTTTAACCGCACAGTATTTGATAGCCTCTGAGGACAAGATAATCAATAGCTGTGGTTTACCACTCTCCTTCCCACTAACACCCAGTTGCAAGAGCTACTCTGCCAGCAATTGAAACAAATATCCCTGCTAGAAACCTTGGTAATTTGTCCACCCTTCAGTACTCAAAGGTGCTTTGGCGAGCGCCACGAGGCTCCGGCGCGGCCAAGCATGGTGACCAATTTCACCCCTTACATGTTGTTTTGCACTTGAAGCTCGAGGTCATGTCCGGATCCTTCTTGTCACATGGGCAGGTGGTCGACTGCGACTTGAGGATGTGGCCGCAGCTATATGTTATCATGTTATAACACATCGTGTTGGGAGGTAGGTAATAGCCCTAGAGGTATCACATTAGCTATGTGTAAAATCTTTACCTAGAATAGTGTAGTAAGACAGCCTAAACTTACTATGTCGGTACTATTGGGGTTGAATTTTGGATGCAAGAGTCCTGAGAGATTGAATCTAAGAAGGAGTGGGTGGTTTTCTTGCCGTTTATATATTCAGAATAACCAAGCACTGGTAATAGATAACATCTTTACCCTGGCAGATGGTCATAAGCCCGAGTCAGTTTGCTTGCTTCATAATTTGAGCCAATTACTTGCTGGATGGCTGGACCCCGCTATCCTGGCAAGAGCAGAGCAGCTAAGCGGGGTGAGAGCTTCAGACCATAAACAGGGACAACGCACGCTCAAGGCTGCTTACATGCATAAAGTCTCTTATCGTAAGATCAGTAAGAAGCTAGTAGTCCTCATTCTGATTCATTCATCCTGGCGAGAGCAGTCGAGCAGGGTAAACAGGGTGAACAGGGTAAACCGGGTGAACCGGGTGAGCAGGGATCGCAGAGCTTTATACCATGATCCAGCTCTGACAACGCATGCCCAAGGCTGCTTATATGCATAAAGCCTCTTATCACAAGTCCGGTCATAATCCAGAAGTCCCGATTCCGATTCATGCATTCTAATCATGAGTCTAGCCAGCGCCGACCACCCATTAACACTAGAACAAGGATCCACCATCTTCGGTCTATGGCCGATAGGCTCTGCGCTAGTTTCCAAATATACCACGTGGCAAAGTGGTGCTGTTTGTTATGTGAGAGTGCCAAAGGTTTATATTTTGTCAATTCGATTTGCAGGCAGGCTCATGTCAACAGCACATGTCAGTAATTTGTACAACTTCTACGCGGGGTATGTCAAGTATGTGCCCTATAATTAATTACTAAAAGTCTGTCTGTAGATATTGTGAATGTCGTAAATTGTAGATGGTATTGTTCGCTAACTATTTACTTCGTCAAATCATCAAAAGACCGGAATTCCGTCTAGATGGTGTACATAACAAGTGAAAGTGACACTTTAGTGCTTGGCAGCCTCTGGAATGTTGTTAGCGCCGTTTTAGAGCAGGTTTTTTCGATAATTTCAGCTTACCCTTGTGGACATCGGCCTTGGTGTTATGTTCAACCTCGTCCGTCTTGTCGCCAAGTGCATCCTTGGCAGCGCTGGCGCGGGTGGTGAACTTGGCATCGCTGTCCTTGGCGACGCTCTTGTTAGCTTCCTTAGAAGCCTCAGCACCAGTTCCCTGGATGGTCTCAGAGACGTAGTTAACGACGTTCTATAATTGTTGGTTAGTCAATGATAAAGCAAATACCAAGAGATTTTGGTTGATCACGAACCTTGGCGGTCTCCATTGTGAAGTTGAGCGTTTGTTTGAAAGGTTATTTGAGGTAGTAGATGATGAGTTGTGATGAAGAATAGTTCAATTTCTAGGGAAGTAGAAGGCTACTTATGCTGTCTGGAGTCCCACCGGGGCAGGAGCAATGATATGATGACATCACCGTGGTATCTCACAGTTTCCTTAGGTCACATACATCGCCAAGGTTGGCTGCATTGTAAACATCAGAATCTTGGAATCTTGGAATCTTGGAATCTTGGTTGCCGTAGCCCCCGGCTCTATCCACAGTTTACAGTTTCTAACCTTCCTGACCTCATCTTAGTAGGAAGACAAAGCGTTCGATCTACAGTTATAATGCACACGTGAACATTACTTGAGGCTCTCAAAGACATAGCCAACTCAAACTTTCCATTTACTTCCAAAGCCAGTTCGTTCAAATGTTATTCCACATATGCGTCGGTTGAGATCAATCTAAACTATCCCCGGACCCACACATCTGGCTGCATGACGTATGAACGGGCACCTTTACCCCATTAATGTAACTATCCCAAGAGCATACATAGTTGTCCATGGAATATTATGCTGTCATGATCATTATTATAGGGAATCAACAATACTACGCACCTAACTTGACACAGAGTAATGTGTCTCTCTGAGGTAAGATTTATTTTGTTGCTCTTAACCTCTGTATTGCCTTAACGATATAGGAAATGCGTTACACGTGCTTATTCAAACAGCCCTTACTTTCTAGAAGATGAGATTCTGTCTCAAAGTAAACTCGTCATTAACACCTAATGTGGCTATGCACGACTGCGGGGTTGGACCTGACTGATTTGCTGTCCGATCCTATGCAAGTCATACGTTATGTATTAGCCCCAACTTCTTGTCTAGACCTATGACGTAGTTCATCCGAGCGTCCCCTCCAACATCTCTTGCTTAGACTACGTTTAGAAGCACAGCTCGGCCAGTGGGAGTCACCCGGTATCTAGCAATGATAATGACACATGGACTCCAACCTGTACGTTATTGTAGTTCTCACTGAGGTAAAAAAAGTCGTCTTTGGGGGTTTCAAGCAAGGAAGATTTCAATTATGGTAGCCTACCTCGGCAGAGAAGTCATTACGATTCCGCCCGAAAACCAGGGGCTATTCTGGCTTTCAAGGGTGAGGCCAAAACATAGATATAGGTAGTTTGTGCTTTGGCTAAGTGTTGGATTCATGGAGATATATATTGCAGTGGGGAAAGCTGGAATCCTCAAGTAGTGGCCTTATCTTTCAGGCAGAGAGAAAATCTCGGGGCCTTCATGTGCACTAGAATTCTGGAGGGGAGAAGACAGTCCAATCACCACTCACAGAATGAGAAGGGAGCTTATAGGATGTTGCTGTATTAAGAGATAAGGATGTCTACTACGGTCTGTGTAATCCCCATGCTTGCTAGCCGACCCAGGCCAGACTGCCCTTCGATATATAACTAGACAATAATATTTTCATTTATTTCTCATAACCCTGCTCACCGCGACAAAATAAATTCTATAAGGAATAAAACTTCCAGGACGGCTTGTGCTCACGCGATAACGATTAATCCTGCATCAAGGCTCGTGCCAACTCTATTGGCATACAATTCTCTTTCAAAAACCGATCATGGAATTCCTTCTCAGCAAGAAGCCCCGTCTCGACAGTCTCCTTCCGCAGTGCATATATTTGTAACGCACCCAGCATATACCCGGCCTGATATAACGGCGAATAATCGCCATTTAATGATCGCCTCACTTCCCCTTCTGCAGTGGCACGTTCGTGTCCGACTTGATCGACAAGTAGATCAATGCACTCCCCAGGAGCCATCTGGCCAAGATGGAACTTGATGGAGAATATAATTCGGGCGCATCGATGAAGCCGCCAAAATAGCATCCCGATCCGGTTCTGCGGCGTCTTTCTGAACCGTTCGTCATTTCACAGAATGAACTCCCAGTACAGAGCCCATCCTTCAATCCAAAACGGGGTGTCAAATAGGCGGCGGTAGGGTCTGTATCTCGCGATCATGTGCATCTGCAAATGGTGCCCGGGTATCATCTCATGGAATACCGTAGCGCGGGAGAAATGGATGTTGTTCCCGCGCATCCCCATCAGCTTGGCTTCATGATCCATCTGGTCGGTTGGATACGAGACAATGATACACTCGCCGCCGAGGAAGAAGGGGTTTACTTTCTGGCGCTCAGGCGACATCATAAACATCTGCCAATTCTCCTTGGCAACCGGCGGAACGGTGACGAGCTGGTGATCTTCGACAAAGGAGATTGCCTCAACCGTGAGATCTCGAACTAATCCAGTTTGTTTTCCAGGCTCGACAAAATCATTCTTGACTTCTTCTAGGGCCTGCTTCAAATTGTCCTGGAACCCCATGCTGCGTGATGCCTTTTTCAGTTCGCCAACACACCATTTGAACTCTTTCTCTCCGATCGAGATTAATTCTTCCGGTGTGTAGGCAATCATTTCACCCAAGAGCTCGCTAAGCAACCCCTCTCGACCGATAGGATCGCCCACTATCGCATCATCGTTGCCTGGGCGGATGCCAGCCAAGTTCTCTCGAATACTTGCTGAGACATCTTTCAACCCTTTTTCCACAACCCCATATGGATGTGACACCCACCAATTGAACGACGGATCGTAGCCTTTGTAGAATTCGAACCATTCTTTCAGGTTATCGTGCAATGAGTCTATATTTCTCGCCGCTCTAAATGCAATTGTTTTCTCCATCCGGAACATGGTCGAATCGCCCTTGACCATGTCTATCACGGCTGCGATTTGAGCCTGGGATTCAACAAGCTTCTGGGCAGCATCTTTTGCATTCATCGATAACACCATAATGCGAGCTTCACACAGCTCCAGCAGCTTGCCTGAGAATGGTAGAAGCAGTGCGGTTTTTTCATCCTGTTTACAGTCGAGTTCCAACTCGCGGAGTTGCCTTTCTAGTGAAGAGGGGACCCCTGAGGGGCACCGACAGCCCTGCCTGCGAAACAGGTGTGAGAGCAGAGTCGTCACTGGGAGTAGTAGGGTGCTAGAGAGGAGAACACCATGGGGTGACTACTAAGAAGAGAGGTAGAAAGGTGTCTGCGTTGCTATCTAGGCCTCGGGAGTGCTTTCATGTCACATAGCCGCTTAGTCATCCTGCTCTGGAAACCCCCACTGCATATCACCCCCCTCTAGGAATTAACCGTCCCCTGGTCAACCAAACCAAAACCATCTGAAAAGAAAAGAAAAACATATCCGTGACTCTGGGCATCTCTCATACCACTCTGGGGTATCTCTTATACCAATCTATAACTCTGGGGGGGCACCTAGTGCCGAAACTGAAGACTGAAACGTAGGGTATGGTTGTTACTAAGGCGGCCGATCATAGAAGGTAGTGGATTAGGATATCGCTTTGAGGATAACGTTCGTTCGGCCAGGTGACTAGTAAAAGGAGTGGTAAAAGGCTGGCAAGGTAGATTTAGTAGTCACCCCCTCCCTAACACACCGGTTGACGCTACTCCCTGCGTCGGTCACCATATGAAGAGGGGACCCCTAAGGGGTACCGACAGCCCTACCTACGAAACAGGTGTGAGAGCAGAGTCGTCACTGGGAGTAGTAGGGTGCTAGAGAGGAGAACACCATGGGGTAACTACTGAGAAGAGAGGTGGAAAGGTGTCTGCGTTGCTATCTAGGCCTCGGGAGTGCTTTTATGTCACATAGCCGCTTAGTCATCCTGCTCTGGAAACCCCCACTGCACTAGGTAGTTTTTCACGAGAGTATAATCTACCTTCCCTTGCTGATCATAAAGATCAAAGGGCTGGCTGTGGAGTGAGTCGAGCTCGGATGTAAGGAACTGGCGTAATCTTTGTGTTCTCCTCGGAGATATCTTGATGGGGAAAAATTCCTTGATATCTTTGAGGTCCTCGGTGATGCGCTCAATCCTGTCGCGTATTGTGTCGACTTGTGCACGCTGGATGGCAATGCCCCTGGGTGACGTGACAGATACCATGTCAGGCAGAATGCAGCTCGCTCTGTTTCGCTCGAAAATAGATAAAATTTGCGTGTTGTTTGTTTAAAAAAAAAAGTATATTTGTTTAAATTGACTCCCAGGGGTAGGAAATCGGAACAAGAAGACATGTGAAGTGGATAAGAAGCTCTTTCCTGGGGCTAGACTGAAAAACAAAAAGATAGGCTTGTGTAAAGGAACATAGACCATTGTAGCGCCCTAGATTAAAATGAATAAGTCCTACCACAAGTTACTACATCGGGTGGTGTCTCCGACATTATATCCCCCGTCGCTGATCGGTCCGAATGGTCGGTTTTTGTTCATATCGCATGGACTAAACTAGCTCATAAAGTTGCGCGGCCTTTCTCCGCATTTATACCTAAAGCAGGTAGATTGTTATCTTGACGGAAGAATAGCAAGCGCGATTAGGGCTGGAATGCGGGGAATGAATCAAAATCTACATTGTCTTTCGAGAAACTTATCATCTTAACGGCTAGACCAGCAACATGATCCGGCTAGGGTTGAACTTGTCTACATACACACACCTACATTGGTAGTACTATAGCCATTGACAAGTTGAGATAAGAAAACTCAAGCTCAACTGATGCTTTGTACGGAGTATAGGCCTCGGCCGTTTGCTGTGATAGATAATCTCCTTTAATATCCCCTTTCATCTCTCTCTTTTTGTATTTATTCCAGCCCTGCTGCCATGTCTAGAAGTTTTTAACTCTAAGCCGATATCTCATTTAGACCCTAACCAGGTTACCTGTTGCCCTATTGTTGCAGAATGAGTTCGCATCTGCCTGTCACGGAGGGCCTTGACCCATCCCAGCTCGACATGCCAAACGATAAGAAGTCAGTAACCAATACGATCCAAGAGTTACACAAGGTCCAACTCTCCCACCAGTGGGATCCAAACTTGCCACAGGAGAAGATCGATGCTATCAACGAGACAGTCAAGACAGAGGATCAAGAGAGGGCCCTCGAGTTAGAAAAGACTCTCGCCCATGAGCCCCAGTATGAGTCTGTTCGTGCTGCGGTGCGCAACACAGATGGCGGAGAAGTTGCCAACACCGTGCGCGCGTGGGTGCTGGGCATGTTTTTCACTACTCTTGGAAGTGGTCTTAATATGTTTCTGAGTATGAGGTGAGATTTGGCTCTGCAGTCTCTGAGTAGGGGTTAATTGACTCATCGTATATTAAGAGCCCTGCCATCTCGTTCCCTGCTATCGTCGTTCAGTTGCTGGTCTATCCGATAGGGTGTTTGTGGGCCAAGACAATGCCGACTCGGAAGTTCAATACATTTGGAGTGAAATGGACGTTGAATACCGGTCCGTTCACTATCAAAGAGCATGCGGTCATCACAGTAAGCTCTTGAAAGTGGGTTTTCAAATTAATCAAGCTGACTTTTGTTTTCAGATCATGGCAAAGTCGGTAGTTCTTGATAAGCTTTGATATCAATGCTAAGCAATATATAGTGTGTCGATCGGCTATGCTTATTGTACAGATGCCCTCTTGGCATTGAAAGCGAAGCGTAAGCAACATCTCTGCGTCAAGTCAATATTGTCTAACGCACTTTCCAGCACTATATAATATGGAACTTGGATGGGGATTCCAACTCTTATTCGCTTTGAGCAGTCAGGTAATTGGTATGTCCCTGGCAGGCATTTTCCGCCGTTTCCTCGTCTGGTAAGTTGGAACCTTTCCTGCCAAGAGTCCCACATACTCACGATGTCAAGGCCCGCTGCTATGATGTGGCCTAGTCAATTTGCGAACACTTCCCTGTTTTATGCTCTTCACGACTGGAGCTCCTCGGATGAATCAGAGACCCACGGATGGAGCATTTCACGCTACCGATATTTTCTATATGTGACAATTGGGTCTTTTATCTGGTATTGGTAAGTCTATCTTGTTCTAATTTGAACTGCATATGCTGATTTCTTCGAACTGCAGGGTACCGGGAAAGGACTCTCTGTTTTTGCTTTTGTCACATGTAAGATCCCGTTGACTCGTTTCATTCCTGACTTGCGCTGACTCTTTTTGCCTGTAGGGATCCGACCCAACAATGTGGTTTTGAATCAGTTGTTCGGAGGCTTCACAGGACTCTCCCTCATTCCTATCACGTTTGATTGGACGTAAGATTCCCGTCAATGGTATACATGCTGGAAAGATGTAAAGCTAATTACAACCAGCTATGTTTCTGCATATCTCGGAGATCCACTCTTGGCACCTGTCCATGCTCTTGTCAACACCTTCATCGGGCTTGTGGTTTTTGTGATCATCACCACAATCGGGATCTCTTACTCTGGGGCTTTGTATGCTGAAATATCTCACCACAATCATTTCAAGGCTGACACAATATAGGTACTCCGCCTATCTCCCTATCAACACGTCCAGCACCTATGACAACACGCAAAGCGCCTATAATGTGACCAGAATCCTAGGTTCTGGTTTCTCTTTTGATGAGGAAAAATACAAGGCATATTCGCCGATGTTCCTAGCTCCGACATTTGCCTTGAACTACGGATTGTCGTTTGCGGCCCTTACAGCAGCTATTGTACATGTTATTCTCTTCCATCGAAAGGAGATATGGCATCAATTCAGGGCTTCTCGGAATCAGGAACCCGACATTCATCTTATCATGATGAAAAAGTACAAAGAAGCCCCCGACTGGTGGTATGCGACACTATTCATATGCTCGATCGCGCTAGGGCTTGCAGGCATTCTGGCATATGATTCGCAGCTCCCTTGTATGTAATACTCCTCGAGATCTGATGATCAAATCTAACCAAACATAGGGTGGGGCTTTTTTGTCTCAATTATCATTGCCGTCGTCTTTATAGTACGTTTTGTCATGGCCACGGGGAGGTTCTTTCTGACTCATCCAACAGATTCCGACTTGCGTGATTCTCGGCATCACCAATATTATGCTTTGTTCGTGCGGTCTCGACCCTTTTGTGGGTGCAACGCTAATTTATATAGCGCTCAATGTCTTATCGCCTTTTCTGGCAGGTTTCATGATTCCAGGAAAGCCGATTGCGGTCATGGTATTCAAGGTCTTTAGCACCATCACCTTGGGACAAGCGTAAGGTTCAATCCTCTCTTCCCAGAATAGTAACTGACCTTGTCAATAGTCAAGTATACTGTTCGGATCTCAAAGTAAGGAACTTCCTCTCCATGTCAGTGGACAAAATTGTTGACTTTTCTTCAACAACAGCTGGCCCATTATATGAAAGTGCCACCCCGCGTCACCTTTATGTGTCAAGTTGTCGCCACGGTATGGGCAAGTATTGTTCAGATTGCAGTCATGAATTGGACTCTGAACAATATCGATGAAGTTTGCACAACGTATGTTATGCACGTCTTTGAAAGAGAACATGTATTAACCATCTATAAAAATAGTACTCAGTCAGGGAATTTTGCATGCCCGAATGGAAGAGCATTCTTTTCATCCAGCATTGTGTGGGGTCAGTTTGTTCTATCTCAGGGATGTATCAACATATTACTGACTTCTTATTTAGGTGTCATTGGCCCACGACGTATGTTTGGACCTGGCGGCATGTACACGCAAATACAATGGTTCTGGTTGATTGGTGCTCTTCTTCCGGTGGTATTCTATGTCTTGATAAGAATGCGCCCTCGGTCTAAGCTCAGGTTCCTAAACGCACCTGTGTAAGTCGCGGAAGGTCATCTTTGGTGGAATGTGCTAATTGTATCAATAGGATGCTAGGTGCTATGGCCTGGTTGCCTTCGTAAGTCTACAACACTCCCGATGCTATTGTTCACGGTTACCTCTTACTGATCATTTCACAGGGCCACCCCATTGAGCTTCTCTTCATGGGTTATCT